GTTGGAAATTGATTATCGTTGAAGATTTCAATTCACCAACTTCACAATTGTTTCACAAATTGTAACAATAAAGTAAGCAATAGTAGCAATTATAGAAGTAAATTAGAGAGAGATTGTGATAGATTGATGATTTTGTAAGAAAAAATAAAATAATGCTGGGGTATTTATAGTTGAAAATATGAAAAAAGTGTAATTATAAAAAGTTTGGGATTAAAATAAAGTTGGGGGGTTAAATGGCTATTTCAACAGCTATTTTTGACAGCCCAACTGAAAAAAAATAGCCGTTGGGCCCACTAGGCCCGTTAAGGGACCGGACCGGTCCCTGGCGGGCCAAACGGCCCCGGGCCTGACGGACCCAAATCATAGGACCGGCCCACGAGACCGGACCGGGCCCGCTAAAACCGGACCAAACGGTCCTGGCCCGTTTGGCCCGCGGTCCCGAGCCGATCCCGGGCCTGAACCGGCCCACTTGCCAGCCTTAAACCCGCTTGCACAAAATCCTGGGTCCGTCACTGTTGGGCGGTATGTCTAAGTCTGTAGTTTGATTTTGATTTTGAGCTGTACATATTATGCTTGGTAAATAAAATGTTTAGTTACCAAAAAAAATGTTAAATGTGTTTGTCTAGGGAAAAAAATGTTAATTGTGTTCAATTGTACAAGACACAAGAAAATCTGTTAGTTTTATTTTTCACCAATCTGTTAATTATTGAGAAACTAAAAACACAACTTTTTTCTCAAAATAGAAATTAAAACGCAGTTTAGTATAAAACATTATAATGCCGTATATAGTAGCTGACGTGGACCGTAGTGCGTTTAATCTCGCAAAAAATACCCAGAAGCTTGCCTTAGTTCCGAAACCTGAACATGGCGGAAACCGGCGACAGCAAGTCACCGGCAGCTAATCCCAACTCTGAAACTACCTCTCCGCCACCGCCACCGCCACCACCACCTCCACTTCAACAGCCACAGCATCAGCCACAGACACCGTCACAGCCACAACTACAACCACCGCCACAAACACCGTCACAGCCACAGCCAGCACCACAGCAACCTCAAACTGAACTTTTGCCCCCAAAGTGTCCCCAACAACTGGAATCCTCCCCAAACCCAACCACCCCCTCCGCCACCGATTCCAAAGACGTGACCCCCACTACCCTCTCTTCCCGCCTCACTGAGCCTGATTATATTTATATCCCCAGCTACTCCCGTAAGTCCCATCTACTCTTCAGCTACTTTTTGTTCTTAAATTTTTTCCCCATATTTAATTGATTGATTAATTAATTAATTGATTGATGTACCCCGTGTTTTTCTTTTAGGTTGGTTTTCATGGAATAGCATACATGAAAGTGAGGTTCGATTTCTTCCTGAATTTTTCGACGGAAGATCACCTTCTAAGAACCCTAGGACTTACAAATACTATAGGAATTCCATTATTCGTAGATTCAGAGAAAATCCCACTAAAAAAATAACCTTTACTGAGGCTCGCAAGACCATTATTGGTGATGTGGGTTCAATTCGTAGGGTTTTCGATTTCCTGGAGACATGGGGCTTGATTAACTACACTGCTAACTCTTCCAAATTGCTGCTCAAGTGGGAAGAAAAAGAGTCTAAGTCTACTTCTTCTGCTTCCGCAGCTCCGCAAAATGCTGATGCTAATGGAACTACTCCCACTGATTTTACTGCCCCCAAGAAGAGACTTTGCAGTGCCTGCAAATCAGCTTGCAGCATTGCCTGTTTTGTTTCTGATAAGGTGATTCCAACAATCTTCAATTGTTGTGGTGTTTGGCTTATCGTGTTTAGAAGGATTAATTTGTTATTTAACAACCTTTGGAATCAAGTTTGAATCTTTTAACTTCTCCTCGACTGGTCATGCTTAATTTTGCTCTCACTGCTCAGCTCATAGGCCATAGCTTCCTACTTTTACAGCTGGTGGTTTCAATTTTGTAAAAAAGTTTTCCCTTTTTTGGGCTTACTCGTAATTGGTAGTTTACTTAAGTGTTGCTAGGACTTGTTGCTATGGTCTAAGAGTTAGATCAACTTTGTTTGTTTAAGTGCAGTATGATTTGACTCTTTGTGCAAGATGCTATGTCCGTGGTAATTTCAGAGTCGGCATGAATACTTCAGATTTTCGGCGCGTTGAAATTAGTGAAGAAGTTAAGACAGATTGGACCGACAAAGAAACTTTGCACCTTTTAGAAGTTCTTATGCATTATGGCGATGATTGGAAGAAGGTTGCTGAGCATGTTGGTGGCAGAAGCGCAAAAGAATGTGTGGCTCGATTTGTGAAGCTTCCTTTTGGTGAGCAGTTTATGGGCCCTCCCGTATCTGCAGAAGTGGATAATGAACCTGGGTCTGAAACTATACTTCTTCCATCCAAGAGAATGCGCCTCACACCCCTTGCTGATGCTAGCAACCCAATTATGGCTCAGGTACTAAGTCACATTTCTTATTACAGGAAAGTGTTTAGGACGTTAGATCAGCATGTTCTATTTAGTACCATGACCATGAATATCAGACAGAATCTGGACATCATTAAGTGATAAAAAATTTGCTTGGAATGAAAATGTTTCCTGACCAACGATTCTCTGCAAGTTCAATATAGTTGCTGAACCAACTCCAATTCTAAATGATCAAAGGAAACTTCACTTCTTATGACTTTGGAATGTTATGTAGTGCTGGAGAAAGGCTGCAGGGTTGCTTTGATTAACTTCTATTTTATGTCTCAAAGCAGTTGTTATAGGGTCCTGCTTTCTTATGGACTAAGACTCTTTTGGGGATTTCTTGAAGGGGACAAGTTGATCAAGTAGCACTTGAGTGTTATTCAAGTCAGACCTCAAATGACTCCTTTTGTTTTTGAATCTTACTGCAGGCTGCTTTCCTTTCTGCTCTAGCGGGAAAAGAGGTTGCAGAATTAGCAGCACATGCCGCTGTTACGGCTTTGTCTGATAATGGTGAGGGAATAACGAAAGGGAGTCTAGGATCTCTACCTGGTGTTTTGGAGAAGAAAGGTATCTATCACCACTTATTACTTGTTTTGGTTCTGACGAGAATCCTTGTAACTGCAAACTGTGAGATACTTGAGGCATCTTAAGAAGAATTGTCTAAAGCTTATCTGGTTACAACTCTTGGTTTTTGCAGTAGTGTTATGCTGCAAATCTGCTATGTTAACTAATTTGTCTTCTTTGTGCATTGTGGGCTGCGTTCTGTCAGGGATTTCTGACAATATTTTTGCAGTATTTAAATGCCATGGATCATGTTTACTACCATTGTTGTTTAGCTGGAATACTTCTCAGTCTCTCTATTTTGACAGGATTGGCTTTCTTTTAGAGGGAAACATTAGTGACTTTGTACACAATTAAGTTAGAGTGATTAAACTACTCCTTGAGAACATTAGTGATAATGAGACTAAGATAAGAGGCTTTTGGTGTTCCAATATTGACTATGATGTTCCAATCTCGTTTTTTTCTGAAAATCAGTCTGACTTAATCCTGTCTAGATACTCAGGACTCTAAGGCAACTTTGGGAAATTTGCGGAACTTGCAAATGAGCAGACTTTTCCTAATTGTAAAGACAATAATCTCCCTCGTAGTGATATTGTTGGCAAATGAGGCAGATTTCCATGGAACTGCAATAAAATAAAATAGTGAAAACGATGATGAAACATTCATTTTCCAATTTTACAAACAATAGATCTTCTGGATGGCTCAGTGAACTCCTGCTGTAAATGACACGGTCTTATACTATGCAGAATCGGACGGCACTTCCAATGGGATTGCCAAGGATACACTTGAAAGAGCTCTTGTTGAAGCACGGTCTCAGCTTGAGGAGGAGGCACAGGACCTAGAGAGAGCCGTCTCCGATGTGGCTATCGAGGTATATACTCATACATGAAACAATTGCTAAATATTCCAAATTCCCTTTGATGAGGTCATCGGTGATGCTCAATACTTGATCTTTGTACATCTTTGCTTTCTTGCTTCCGTGCTTTACAGGCCAAGGAGATTGAGGACAAAATTGCTCGTTTTGAGGAACGTGATTTGCAGATGGAAAAGGAGTGGCAACAGCTGATGCAGCTTAAGAACCTGATCTTCTTTGATCAGCTTACTTTGCTGCTAAATAAAGTTGGTTCTGCAAAAGCTGGAGAAACCATTGGGGAGGAGGTGATGAATGTTAAGGCAGAATGACAAATCCCCTGGTATAATATGGTCTCTTAGTTGCTTACCAACATAGTGAGATCTAGTTATTTCATATTTGTCAAATATTAGGTAGTGGCAAATTCTAAGGAATCAGAAAGCAGAATGAATTTCTTTAGCTGCTAACCCCTGTTCTTTTCTATATTTTCTGACTTACATGATGTATTCCCCTCTCCCAGTTCCCTGAGAAGCAGCAACGTTGCCTATATTAAAAGAAAACAATACAAGGGATTTAAAGTCAGCTGGTCTTGCAGAACTTGTAATTTACATTTTTTATTGCGTTTTTTTGTTCAACAGCGGAAACCAATGTATGTAATGCTATAGAGAAAATGATCAAAATGGTCCTTAATGTATAGGGGTTGGAGTGTTTTGGTCCTTGATATATACCACTTAACAGGAATAGTCCTTAATGTATATAAAAGGTGATAGCTTTGGTCCTCAACCCTAAAACTAACAATAGAAAATAAAAATTCTGTTAAATTTAACCCCAATCCCTCAGAAGCAAAACCTGGCAGACCCCTTTCCCTCTCCTCTTCTATCTTTTACCGTGTCAAGCTCTCAATAAAAAGATCCCACCCGCATCTCTTCCACCTTTTCTGTTACTACCAAAACACCCATTTAAAAAGATCCATTCATGTTTGAGAGAAGGTTTGGATTTAAGGTCGTTAATGGTGAATGAGAGAAGAGGAGGGAGTCGGGAGAGATTGGGGTGAAGTTTAACAGAATTTTTTGTTTTCTACTATTAGTTTTAGGGTTGAGGACCAAAGCTATCACCTTTTGTATACATTAAGGACTATTCCTATTAAGTGGTATATATCAAGGGCTAAAATATTCCAACCCCTATACATTAAGGATCATTTTCTCTAATGCTATACCTTCTTAGAGGATATTGTCTTTGCACTTGTTAGCTTCCTGTCCAGTTCTGCTTTTAACTCTTTTCATAATACATTGTTCTCATCCGTACCTTATTAATTTACAACATTTGCAGATAGGGATGGCAAGCGGTCGGGGACGGGTTCTCTCGTAACCCGTAAAATTTCAACCCGCCCCGCCCCGTATAGCTCTTTTAACCCGTATCCATCCGCCCCGCACCACACCCGCCCTGCACCGCCCCGCAACCTTTTTAGTTATATGAAAAATGAGTATTTAAACTCATGCGAAATTTGCTCACTTGCTTAAAAAAAAATTCTTAAGCAATCTTACAGCGACATTCTTACACCCACATTCACCTCATCAAATTGCATTCACACAATTCTTTTTTTGGGCAACTTTCTTTTTCCTTTTTTACTTGTAGCTGACAAATTCAAACGAGGTAGTTGACGAAGAGATGGATCCGATCATGAAGCTTACCGCTTCATTTCTTTTTGTATATTCATTTTAATTTGTAATTTTAAATTTTTGTATTATTCTTCATTGATATTTGTTATTTCCATGGATATTATGGAAAGAAGTTGAATGCCATCAGACGACTTTATAAATATATGAATCCAATTATCTTTTTTCTGAAAAGCCTTTTTGTTCAGAATATTAAAATATGATTTACAAATATTTGAAATAATAAATAAAAAAATGTGTCATAAGCTAATTGTGAAATTTTCTTTATAAATGCCCGAATAATTTTGCGTTAATTGATGAACAATATTCTTATAATTTTGTGAAAAATGAGTATTTAAACTCACACCCGCACCCGCAAAAAATTAAGTTTCTTTTAGTTTAACCCGCCCCGCACCTGCATATGTATAAAACCGCACCGCCCCTCATATGTCTAAACCTGCACCACCCATTGCCATCCTTATTTGCAGAAAACGAAAGGAATAGATGGGAGTATGGAAATTCAAGCTTGACATTCATCTCCGGTGGTTAGAACCTTGGTTCCTCCCATCGCTTGGGAGCCCTATAAGGGCGTTGAGACCATAGTATGTTATACGACAGTATTGTATGACCTAAAATTTAGATTTAGATTTTTATACAATTAGATTTATGAAAGAAGGGCTAATCTAAGTCAATATTAATATCCGAATGACAGATCTAGTATATTGATGAGGATTGCCGAACGTGTGTTATAAGTTAGCAATATCTTAAAATAATGGTGGAGCAATAAATGATTCAAGAATATCAAGGATAGCAATAAATGATATTTAAGTAAATAATGAACCACGGTTCACCCGACATGGGTGAGATTTTTTCACTGATTCCTCTGACAATGATGGATAATGATAAGCACTAGAATATATTGATTCTTCTTGGATCGGGAGAGATAAGTAAGAAAAGAAGTGTAAAGGCAAACTTTATATGTAGATGATAAAGAGAGAATCTTTAGAGAATGCCAATATTGTTCTTTGCAAAAGTGTTCAATCCCCTTTCTAGGATTGCATCTCTTCCTATTTAAATGGATACATGGGCCACAAAAACCTAGATAGTACAATAAGAGAATAGTCTAGCGAATATTCTATAGGGAATCTAAATCTTTGAACTATCTGTTACTGCATGCAGAGGACAGGTGCTCGTCCTCGTTCTCGTTTTCCATTTAAGCTACCTCGACCTTATGATGTGTTGTCATGCCCATGCATAGTTGCCCTCAAAGTCTTTTATACCGTTGACCGAGTCAACTATGTGATATGAAGTTTTTCACCCATACAAGTACCTTTCAGTAGAAAAATAAATTCATCTCAAATCAAAAGATTTATTTATAGTTGATCAGTCCTCCACGGCAGAGCTTCTCGCTTTTCATGAATGTATTTCTCCCTCAACTGGATAGGCCTATGACAGTAGAACAAGTGGGGAAGACCTCCCGCATTGATCAATATCAATAAGAATAGAAACGAATAGCTAACATATTTATCCCGGTGAATTTGCCCGAAGAGCTTAGGGCAAGGTTGGATTCTTTTCTATTTGTTTTTTCGTTATGGTACAAACGCATACTGAATCAACCCGTATATCTAGGTAGATCTATTCATAGTTGTCAGTCCTCCACGTCGTGACTTCTCGCTTTTTATGAATGTGTCTCCCCCTCGACTGGATAGGCCTATGTCACTAGAACAGGTAAGGAAGACCTCCCGCATTGATCAGTATCAATAAGAATAGAAACAAAATAGCTAACATAGTTCTCCCTGTGATTTTGCCCGAAGAGTTTACACTAGAGTCAAATTCTTCTTCTAGTATGCAAACACTTTTGGATCACCAAATCTTATTTTGAGATTTGGTTGGTATGTGTTCCTATCTATTAATAGGACTGCAAGCAATAACTGTTTTTCAGCCACAATGGATGCATGTTTATGTCAAATTATTCTCAATCTCTTTCCCTAAAGGTAGAATTTTTTTCTTTCCTTCTCCTTATAAGCCCTTACTCTTGAACTACTTGAATAAGGAGAGCAGTCGTCTAATTCTATAATAAAGATGGACTTTAGAAATAACCATCAATTATAACCCTCACGTTACTTATAAAGTAATTACAGATAAATATCTAATGAGCATTAATTGGTAACTTAGAAAAAAATATTAACTAACAAAATTTTTTTTCATAAAAATATTTTAATAGATCATATGTTTATTAATTTTTTACTAAACATATATTTACTAATCAAAAAGTTAATAAAGTGAAATTAAAATAATAGTCATATAATAAAAAAATTTAAAAAATCATAAAACACGATAAAATCGAACCAATTCAAATCAATATAATTGATTTGGTTTGGTTTAGATACAAACAGAGTTTAGAGTTTGTTCCGTCACTTCTCATAAAGCTCAAACAGTATAGAAAGCACAGAACTGATCATTACACCTAGCAAAAAGAAATATTGAATTTACTGAAAAGGTCTCAATAGTGGCATTATTTTGCAGAAATCTAAGAAAGACCCCGATGTAACTAGTCGCTAAAACAGGGTCAAAATCGACTTTACACTGCTGCTATCATCGGAGTTGAAACCGGGTTCGTACTGTCGTGACCGATCAGTTGAAATCTCCTAATTTCCCTCTCAATTCCAAGCAACAGTTTACCCAAAAAACAAAACAAAACAAAACAAAAAAAATATGTCGCAGCGACGCGATGATTATACCTCAATAGTTGAAGCCATGACTTTGATCGATCAGAAAGTTAATTTCATGGGCGTCGTCCTCGAAACTAGCTTTCCAAGGAAGACCAAGGGCACTGGTAAAAGCTCCTTTAATTTTCAATACTTTCAAGTTGCTTTCGTTGAAGTCTTTGGCTTTTATTTGTAAAAATTTGAGCTTTTTTCCTTTTTAACAGATTATTTCTGCTTGGTTAAAATCACTGACCAGTCATACCAAAGTCGTGCGCTTTCTGTTAATGTTTTCACTGAGACGATAGAGAAACTGCCTCTGGTACTCAATGCTGGTGATATTATTCTGCTTTTTAACGTTAGGGTAACTCTTCCTTTAGTTTTACCTTTGAACTTTATTTTACTATGTTACTAAAAATCTTGACTTATTTATGGTTATTGCACTTTGTGCAGATGAAAGTTCATAATTCCGTGGTTCATGCTGTGTTCAACAAATACTTCTCTTCGTTTGCTTTGTTTGATGGAGAGTATAGTACAACCTTCCTTCCCTATCAATGTCATGTGCCATATCTTCCTAGGGAGCGGGAAGAGAAACTTATACTCGGTTTAAGGAAGTGGTCGGTTGATCATCCTATTATAACAAGTACTCTCCTTTTCTGGTCTAAATGATCCATGAAAACTTGATATATTTAGGTGTTTACCCGAAAAATCGGATAGAGTTAGATTTGTGTATGGTTCTAAGGACACGTGATATAACTTGATACAAATTATAGAGTGAAATGTAAATATCTCTATTCTTGCCAAATGGGATGAAATATAAGACATGGAAAAGGAAATATTGATGAACAAGGTAACCTGCCTCCTAAATGTGTTAACATCTATAATAATAAAAATACATAGTGGAGGTCCCATGATGAATTGTCTTTTCTTCGATTTCCGCCAAGATTCTCTCCCATAGTGCGGTTGCAACAGCTTTTGTCTGCGAGCTCGATACTGGCTCGAGTTCGATTCTGACTTGGGGTCTCGATTTCGGGGTGAGTATTGGTCGGTCTATGCATCTTCGATTATCTCCGCCTTGCCTTGTAGCTCGATTTGGATATGAGTTCGATAATGATACCGAGCTTGTCATTGATCGGTCTTAAAGCTCGAAGCTCGACGCCCTTACTTCGGACCTCGACCGAGCTTGTCATGCAGATACCCTTTGATCGAAACATCATCGTCTCGACCAGTCCGTACGACTGGCTCAATCGGTTTTGACCGTACATAGATAGTCCCCTCGTTTCTCGGAAAAGGATGTGGCGAGAAACGATATGATTTCCCAACAGGGCTCGGAGAGAAGCTCTCGAGAAGGTCAGAGCTCGGAGAGAAGCTCTCGAGGAGGTCAGAGCTCAGGGCTTCGATATTGGGGCTGAGATTGAAGTTGCCAGGGCGGAGGAGAACAAAGCTCGAAGGTTGGCCTTTCATGAGGAGGACTCCGATGACTCGGGGGAGTCTGAAGATGAGGACAGTGCCGAGAATACAGCCTCCGATGACGATTGAGTCATTTAGAGCCTTAGATCGTTTGCTGCGTTCTTTGGATATCGCTTTCGGTTTTTGTATAAAGAACTTCCTTTTGGCAGAGTAGCCGCCTCTGTACAAAAAATTTGTAAATATAAATCTTTCTTCCTTTTGAAGCAAAATAGCCTTTCAAGCTAAATAGATAGTTTGAATTTTAATCTCTGTTGTCTTCGGACCTTGTGGGTAGTCCCCTTTGCTTTATCGGGCTCGAACATCCTTCAGGNGCCCGTAGGCTTAGCAGTCGAGTGAATGATTCGAACTCGATGCAATGTAGCTCGTAGGCATAATGGTCGAGTGAGTTCTTGCTCGAACTCAAAATAAAAGTAGCCGGTAGGCTTAGCAGTCGAGTGAATGATTCGAACTCGATGCAATGTATCCCGTAGGCGTAATGGTCGAGTGAGTGCTTGCTCGAACTGGAAATAAAAGTAGCCCGTAGGCTTAGTGATCGAGTGAGTGCTTGCTCGAACTCGATCCTGTTTGCATAATAAATCTTGAACATAGAATATCGGTAAAGAAGAGGGCTTTCTTTGCAAATCATTATACATGTGTTCATGTTTTGCGTCAGGGCTCGGGCCAACTAAATAAGTATGGTTCGTTTTGACCATTTGGCTCTTACAACGTTTCCTGTCGAGACACTGTTTGTCATGAAATAACGAAGTAACTTCCTTGCACCGAACTTGATAATCATCACATATACGTTCAATGATAAAGCCCCCCAGTATACGAGGTTGATTTTAAAGAGGCCTCGGATACTCAGCAGTAGTATCGTTTTAGGCGTTACACGTTCCAATTGCTTGGTAGTTGATTGCCATTTTATCAGACCGGGTTTGGAGGATTTCCGCTATATGGCCGATATCGATCTCAGGTCGACCTTTGCTTGGTAGTTCTTTTAGTAACGGACCTAGAAATCAACTGGTCATCTTCGACTCTTATTTTGGATTGATATCGATTGTGTACATCGGTCCAAGTAATAGTTGGGTACTCGATTAGATTTTGCTTCAGCCGCCGTGAAGCCATCGAGCTCCGCTCGTTTAGACCTTGAGTGGAAGCTTGAACAGCCCAATCGTCTGTGACTGGTGCAGATCCATTCGTTCCATTTGAAAACGAGATACGAACTCCCTTAGCATCTCGTTATCCTTTTGTATTACCTTGAACAAGTCCGACTTTCTGGTTTCGGCCTTTATGGCTCCGGCATGTGCTTTTACGAAGCAATCTGCAAGCATAGCAAAAGAATCAATAGAGTTAGATGGTAAATTATGATACCATACTATTGCCCCCTTTGATAGGGTTTCACCGAATTTTTTCAATAATACAGATTCGATCTCATCATCTTCCAAATCATTGCCCTTGATGGCACACGTGTAAGAAGTGACGTGCTCGTTGGGGTCGCTCGTTCCGTTATATTTGGGTATTTCGGGAATACGGAATTTTTTGGGGATTGGTTTTGGAGCCGCGCTCGAGGGAAAAGGTTTTTGCACGAATTTTTTGGAATCCAACCCTTTTATAATTGGTGGAGCTCCCGGGATCTGATCGACCATAGCGTTATAAGTTTCTACTTTTTTATCATTGGCTTTGACTCGCTTTGTGAGTTCCTCGATCAATTTAGCAATTTCGGGAGTAGTCCCCGATTCTTGCTCATTTGACTTTACTATGGCTGGCTCCATTCTGTGGTTGATTTCTCGAGGTAGACTGGGCTCCGGCCTGCTTTGTTGTTGGGTTTGGCTCTGCAACTGAGCTATTGCTGCCTGTTGGGCTTGCAACATTTCGAAAATCATACGCAAGCTAACGTCGTTTTCCTCGACGTTATGGGTATCTCGAACTGCAGACTGAGTGCCACAATGGATGCTATTCTCGGGTTCAGCATGGAGGTTCGCCTTAATGGCTACATGCGAATTGATAGCTATTGGCGCTCCGATTCGAGCTCCAACGGCGTTTACAAGTGGCCTTTCGGTACGGGGTGTCAAGTTATTGTTCTCATCTTGAAGACCGGCTCCGTTGTCGATTGGTGAAGCCATTTGATTGGTAGTTAGTCGTTGCTAATCCGAAATCCAAGATATTTTCGGAACCGAGCGTAAAACACAACAGTGTGTTTCTTCAGATTCGTATCAAATAACCACTGTTATCCTTAGCCCCATGGTGGGCGCCAAACTGTTTACCCAAAAAACCGGATAGAGTTAGATTGTGTATGGTTCTAAGGACACGTGATATAACTTGATACAAATTGTAGAGTGAAATGTAAATATCTCTATTCTTGGCAAATGGAATGAAATATAAGACAGGGAAAAGGAAATGTTGATGAACAAGGTAACCTGCCTCCTAAATGTGTTAACATCCCCCTTTTATATTAGAGGGATCCTACTTTATCTATAATAATAAAAATACATAGTGGAGGTCCCACGATGAATTGTCTTTTCCTCGATTTCCGTCAAGATTCTCTCCTATAGTGCGGTTGTAACGGCTCTTGTCTGCGAGCTCGATACTGGCTCGAGCTCAGTATTGGATCGAGCCCTCGGTCTTGGTTCGAGCTCGATTCTGACTTGGGGTCTCGATATTCGGGGTGAGTGTTGGTCGGTCTATGCATCTTCGATTATCTCCGCCTTGCCTCGTAGTTCGATTTGGATATGAGTTCGATAATGATACCGAGCTTGTCATTGATTGGTCTTATAGCTCGAAGCTCGACGTCCTTACTTCGGACCTCGACCGAGCTTGTCATGCAGATACCCTTTGATCGAAACATCATCGTCTCGACCAGTCCGTACGACTGACTCAATCGGTTTTGACCGTACACATTAGGATACAACTTTAGAACCTGAAGTCTTTCTAAAATGTATCTTAGTCGGTGTGGAATCATCCGTTTCCATATAAGGATCAGAGCAACATTCTTACCCTTCTCATGCAGGGAGTGGGGTGAGAGAGTGATAACAACAACAACAACATAATACCCAGTATAATCCCACATAATTTGGGGGGGGAGGTGAGAGAGTGATAGATTTCCTTTTATAACGACTTTAATTCAAAGATCTGACTCTTGATATGCTATAATTACCTTAATAAATTTTCAATCTTTGAAAGATATCAGGGAAGGAGACGGCTTCAATTTGGTTTGCAAGGTAATACTAGTACGTGTACTCTTTATTAGCATGGCCTCCATTAAATTTATTTTGAAAATCAGTCAAGGAAACACGTTGCTGTTTTACGTGTATATATGAATAGGTTAGAGGATGAACTGCAAACCCCACTTCCTTTAGAGTCGGTGCCAGTTTGTCTGCCAAGAGACAAATTCACTGAATATTTTCATTGCAAATTTTGATGGCATGTGCAAGATTCTGCGTGTAGTTAGACAAGATGAGTGGATCCTTCTTGTGTGGGATGGAACTGACACTCCACCAGTTGCTATTAATGCAAGGTGAGTGTTATATTCATGCTTTTGATTGACCATCACGTTAGGTTTTCTTTTAGAGGATAGTATTCATTATTTCCTTTTCAAGTGGAGGTACTTTGTTGCACAAGAAGTACTGGTATAGTTGTGAAGTAGATTAGTTTAAACGCTAAGCTCCATAACAAATTTTGCCTGCAATTCATATTTGAAGTGGACCTCTTGAACTAATTGCATATCAGATTGAGCCATCCAACACTTGCTCACTAATTTTTGCGTTTGATTATGAAAGCTTTGTAAGTGTTTACATAGTTTTACGTGTATATATGAATAGGTTAGAGGATGAACTGCAAACCCCACTTCCTTTAGAGTCGGTGCCAGTTTGTCTGCCAAGAGACAAATTCTGCAAATTGCCATCTCTTGGAACTGTGCTGAGGGTAACTCTGGATTGTGGCAATGAGAAACTTGGAATGAACGTGCTCAGGACCAATAGATGGGTGAAAATTGATAACCTAAGATGTCAACTTCTTGACTCACTGTGGCATGCTGCCCTCTTCCCGACTACTAGGTTTTGCTATTTGCGCGATGAAGATCACATTGTTTCGCAGCGCATGAGGTTTTCTTCTCTGATATTTACATATTTTCTTGTAATTATGTGATACAACATAGTGCGTATCTAGAGGGGGGTGGGTGGGGGTCTGGGATCATGTGAAACCCATGTTCCCCTCTCTAGATCATGTATAGTAATGTTATACTTTATTAGAAATATTTAAATATATATATGTGCACCCAAGCTCAAAGTATCATATGATCTGATGGTTATTGAGTGCACCTCTATAACTGAGGTTAAGAGTTAAATCTTATGTCTATCTTGTTATTTTTTCTTTCTTTTTCTAGAATTTGGCATACCCATGAGAGATGGACATGTCTGGTGTCACTTCTTGCGTATTAATTAAGTACTTTTTCGTCTTTCTTTGTTTGGTGTGTTCTCTCAAAATTTCCAAGTCCGACACATTGAGGAGTATGTATGTGGAGTATATATATATTCACTCTTCGTAATAGTGCACCCATCTTCCCAGAATCCTAGCATGTCCTGCGTAGTCACTCCACAACACGTTCTCTTGTAGCATTGTAACTAATGCCTATTGCATAATCACCAGAACATCTAGTTGCAGCTTGAAGGTGTCATGACAATTTTTTTTTCTCCATCCAGTGCCGTGTTTTGCATCTCCATAACTACATCTACAAGTCTCATATCTGTAGGGAGTTTGATAAGCGTATCAAATCTAAATGGGGATGGATGCCTCTTTCAGCCTTACCTTGGCCAACTCATGTGACAGGTTTGATTGATGTGCTCACAACAGATCTCCATGTTAGATCTATAATAATATATACCAGCATTCGCCTAATAATACTTTGTTATAATAAATTTTCAGTGACCGACTATTCAGAAGTGCCCTTTGTCTCCTTGATGAGAGCTCTTGTGAATCCCAAGGTATCTTGCTGCTTCATAAAGACATTCATTTCTTCTTTTCCCTTTTTCTTTCTACTATGTGTTAGAGAGTTGTATTTACTCATTCAGTTCTTTTATGTCTTTGCGAATAATACATCTTCATGCCTGGTTGTTGCACTCAGGCATTATGAGACTTCATTTGCTATTGGACTTATTGCTGAAGGGCTAGAAATGCCCATGAATAGAGATGTCTCATAGGGGCTTGTATCCAACTGGGTGAGGTATTCCAGTTTGATCGGTTTGGATTTAGCTATGTGTTAGCTGTTCGTTGTCATTTGCTTTCAGTGGCTTCTATTGTTGTATTTGTTTGCCACTTTAAGTTTGATTTTTCAAGGCTCAGAATAAGGAGAATGAAAAATCCCTTTTTATTGTCATTAATGCTGGTTAAGTGGGTACTATGTTTATGCTTGCACTAGTGATACTTGAAAACAAAAAAGAAAGGGGGGGGGGGGGGGGGTTTTT